GCCCTCTCTTATCCCCATTTTTAAATACCTTCACCTCGTCTCCTGACGCTTGTGACACCACCTCACCCCTCACCCCTCACCCTCACTCATACCATATCCCTGCCATGGCGTTGACCCTCATCCTTATCCTTACCCTGACATCCCACTGGTTTCGGTTTCCGACACGTGGCGCTTGCTGCTAGTACTCGTGCCAGGACCACAAATCCTTTAGCGTAAGGGTTTGTGCGAGCCGAGGAAAGAAGCGTCACGGCCAGTGGAGTTAACCAAATCGTGGTGAGGCCGCCCGAGCCGCGCCCCTCCGGAAGACCTGCGGCCGAGGGAGAGAAATCTCCTCTCGACCCGGGCGGGAGTGGCCAGCCTCTGTGTGGCCTCACTCGAGCTTCATCCTGCTTCAGCGGTGATGGTTAGCCGAGGGACAGCTCTGGAGCCACGGTCGAGAGGCCGTGGCTCCGAGCATACCGCAGATGGCGCCAAAAACCTGCTAACTTCTCTCCCCTCCCCCTCAGTTAGCCGAGAGGCTCCGTGGTCGCCATAGCGAGGCTCCGCGCCCCGTGGGAAAATTGTGGCGAGGCGAGCCGCGCTCAAGGTCGTGGGGTATTCCCCGCGCCACGAGTCGCGACCTTGCCTCGCCACACGATCCCGCGGGGTGCGGCCGCGCGGTGAACACGCGAGTCTGCCGATGGCGCTGAGCCCCTCGATCCTTTTCCTCTTTCAAAAAACCCACTCCAACTATTACCCCAAGTTTACCCCGCAGGCTGGGTGAAGCCCCGGCTCCTTCTCCTGAAATTCTTTTCCTCCTCCTTATCCTTCTCCTATCCCCACTCTTCCTTCCCTCCCCTCTTCTTTACATTTTAGTCCATTTTGACCTCTCCCTCACACCCTAGGTGAGCCTACCCGCCACCAGGCGGGTCTCAGTCAAGCTCACTCGCTTACTACCCGTCGCCGGCCGCACCGCCTCGTTGGCGTGTAGGCCGGGCACAGCACCAAGAGTCGTATCGTGTTCCTTTCATATTAGTGTTCTTAAATAAAAGTGTACAGCCACATCAGTTTATCACTGCTGCCCACAAGTAACCATTCAATCCATATAGGAGGTTTAGAACCTCTTATACAATTTGTGTTTGTTTGTGTGTGTGTACAATATATATAAATAGATAGATGGCTAGACAGATAGATAGATAGAAAGAGAGAGAGGGAGGGAGGGAGGATATAAGAGAGAGAGAGGGGGAGAAAGAGGGAGGGAGGGAATGAGAGAGAGAGAGAGATAAACAGAGAGAGAGAGAGAGGGGCAGGGAGGTAGAAAGAGAGAGAGATTGAGAGAAGAGAAGAAAAGGAGAGAGAGAGAGAGGGAAGGAGGGAATGAGAGAGAGAGAGATAAACAGAGAGAGAGGGAGGGAGGGAGAAACAGAGAGAGATTGAGAGAGGAGAAGAAAAGGAGAGAGAGAGAGAGAGGAGAAAAAAAGACAAAAAGTTAGATATAAAGAAAGATTTCTCAAAACTCAACTCAAAAATCTAGCTTAGCTGACATTAAATTGCAACAGTATGCCTTTGATCTGTTGCAGCTTCTATTGACCCTATTGCAAATTATCCACTTACCAATGTCAATAAAATCATAAAAATGAAGTGAAAAAGATTGAAATAATAAAAGCAATTTGTCAAGACGCTCGGAAAGGTAGGTGCTGCAGGTTGCTGTTCATGGTGATTAGGCGCGAAACGGAGCGACAATTCCCGTAGATTTAATTCTGAGCTTTTTCGTCGAATCTCATAAGTTGCTGAACGAAACAATATGAAAGATATGACTCATGTTATCGTTACATATCTGTGCAACCACTTATCTACACTATCTTGTGTATGTGTTATTAATTTTTTTTAATGTATCATGGCAATAGTTAAGCATGATGCGCGATGTATCTTCGAGACGTTTTGTTATATCTTGTTCAGCATTTTTCTTATTTCTTGTTTGTTTCTGCTTTTTATTCGCATCTTTATTTTCACGTTACTTGATGGCAAGATTTAAACCTAGATGTTTTAATAATATTATTATTACTATTGCCATTATTATCATTATTGTTATCATCGATATCATTATCATTGATTTCATCATTTTTCGCAGTTATTATCATTAATTTCATTTTCATTATTATTATTATTATTATTATCCTTATTATTATTATTATCATAACCATAATCATTATTTGAATAGATCTAATTTGTGATTTTGATTTTAGTTTTCAGTAGTCTAGTAAAACTTCTGTAGTTTGACCCCGGAGTGACTCGAACACCCAGCCTTCTGATCTGGAGTCAGACGCGCTACCATTGCGCCACGAGGCCTTGGGTGGGCAAAGGGGATCCAGGCGGACGGTTAGGACTTTAGTTCTTTCGGAGCGCTTGCTGTTTATGTTGGGTTTCTTTCTCTTGTCTCTCTCTTTTTTTGTGTGGTTCCTTTATTTGGTGTCTATCTATCTATTCATATCTATCTATCTTCTATATATATTATTATATA